TATTCACTATGAGGACCTGGTAGAACTCCTGGAGGTAAAACTCACAAAAGTGTGAGGGTCCCCTCTGACTAGGTCCCCCTGGAGTTTGTGTCTCTCAGGCAGGCCACGCTGAGCCTCCAGCAGTTCGTTAGTTACAGCCCTTTCCCTGGTTTCTGACCTGGTAGATCGTGACTCTCCATCTCTGTCCGCCTGTTTGTTGCCCTGTTGTACATGGCAGTGGTTTGCCCTATGGCCTCACTCCTTTGACAGATCTAGAATTCTTTTTTGTTTTTTTTCTTTTTTTTTTGGTGCTGGGGATTGAACCCAGATCCTTGTACATGCAAAGCAAGCACTCTACCAACTGAGCTATATTCCCAGCCCTCTGGGGAGAATCCTTGACTTTTCAGTTTGTTTAGCCTTTAGCTGTTAGAATAAAGACCTGTGAAACTTCCTTAAATGTCAGACCAGAAACCTGAAGTCCTTGGGTATTTTCCAATCTTGCTGGCCCCAACCAATTCTTATGGCAGTGGGCACTGCCAGGTAAATTCCAGATGGTCTGCTTCATTAATGAAATGCTTGTTGTCTGATGAATATCATCTTCCTAGCATGTAATTGGTTTTTTTTAAAGTATAGGATGGAGGGAGAGAATTGATAATTTGAGTACATTGGGATATTTCTGTAGATCCACATGTTGCCAAAATCATGGGTCTACAGAGTTAAAATTGTCCATTTATATTAGTAGAACTCTTGGAGCTACATCCTCAACAAAATGCAGATGGTCACCACTTAAAGTGGTTCAGCTGAATGATTTTTTTTTTTTTTACTTTAGAAAGAGTTTATTGGGCTGGGGTTGTGGCTCAGAGGTAGATCATTCACCTAGCACGTACAAGACCCTAGGTTCGATTCTCAGTACCACATAAAAATAAATAAAATAAATAAAGGTATTGTGTCCAACTACAACTAAAAAATAAACATTAAAAAAAGAAATGTCTTTATTATCCTAAAATGAGGAATATATATATACTTAAGTAGTTTTTATATTTGTGAAGGGGAAAAAAATTCTTTTTTCTTTTTGAAGTACTAGGGATTGAACAAACCAGATCAATTCCCACTGAGTTACATCCCCTTTTTACTTTTTATTTTGAGACAGAGTCTCATTAAGTTACTGAGGCTGGCCTCAAACTTGCCAGTAGCCTCAGCCTCCCAAGTAGTTGTGATTACAGGCATGTGCTACCATTCCGGGGAAGAAATGTATTTCAAGAGCAAGTTTTCTCTAAAAGTTCATGAAATCAAGATGATGACAAATTTTATTTCTGGAAAAGATAGTTCGCTGGGGCAACTTAAAATTTGGGGAAATGGGAAGAAATTGATGGCTTCTGGGGAAGTTGGGGCTGGGAGGAGGCACAGATCCCTGTGACTTATGCCTCAGTGATATTCATTTATTTCTATTTAACAGCCCTTTACTGTGTGCCTACCATGGTGCCAGGGCCTGCTCTGGGATATGACAGTGAACAAGACAGACCCAAGTCCTGCCTTCATAAGAGGACTGAGAGTGAACAGTTCACCAGTGAAATTCTATAGGCAGTATAGACCTGACAGCAGAGCTTTCTAAACATACTGTCCTGGTCCATCAAGGAGATTCCAATGTAGGAGACAGACCAAGATCCCCAGTAGATGATGATTACTGCCACCATAGCCCTACCAGTGCCACCCGCAGCCTCTGCCTCACAGTGTAACAATTGGAATGAGTATTCTAGTCCCAAGGAAAGGGGTACAGTCCAGCCATGGCAGTAGTTAGAAGATGAAAATGCACCAGTATCGATGTTCAATACCCACACAAGCAGACAAGGAGATTTTAAAAACACTTATCTCGAAACATACTCCGAGAGGAATCATCCTGGTTTTTTTTTTATTGTTGTTGTTAATATTTATTTTTTAGTTGTAGTTGGACACAATAACTTATTTAATTTATTTATTTATGGTGCTGAGGATTGAACCCAGGGCCTCACACATGCTAGGAGGGTGCTTGGCCACTGAGCCACAACCCCAGCCCCTCATCTTGTTTTTTTGTTTTGTTTTATTTTGTTTTTTGTACTGGGGATTGAACTTGGGCACTCAACCACTGAGTCACATCCCCAGCCCTATTTTTTATTTTATTTAGAGACAGGGTCTCACTGAGTTGACTAGAGTCTTGCCACTGCTACAGCTGGCTTTGACCTTGCAATCCTTTAGCCTCCTGAGCCGCTGGGATTATAGGCTTGTGCCACCTCACCAGACTCATCCTATTTTAATAGGCTGTGCACTACTGTATAAAAATATCCTCAAATGATAGAAAATTCTTAGGCTTTGATGCTAGATTATTCTTTTGTTTTCTTTTAAACTTTTGTATTCTGAAATAGGAAACACTTAGAAAAATGCATAAAACATAAAGGCATTAGGTTGGGGATGTGGCTGTGGCACAGTGGTAGAATGCTTGCCTTGCCAACAGCCTGACCTTGGGTTTAATCCCCAGCACCACAAAAACAACCAAACAAAAAAGCATAAAAGATAGTTAAATAATTATAGAGCAAATACCCCTGGAAAGCACCACTCAGCTCAAGAAAGTGGATACAGCCAGGCGCAGTGGTATACACCTATAATTCTAGGAACTCCAGAGTTTGAGAAAAAAGGATAGCAAGCTTCCGGGCAGCCTCAGCAATTTAGTGAGACCCTGTCTCAAAATAAAAAATAAAAAAGGCTGGGAATATAGTTTAGTGGTAAAGCGTCCCTGAGTTTAATCCCAGTACAAAAGAAAGAAAAAGAAAGGGGAAGGAAGGATTTTTTTCTTTCCAGCCTCAGTCCTCCTGGCTTTTGTGGAGATCTTGTGTTTGCTTTTCTTGCAGTTGTACTACATGTTCATGCAGGGGTTTTGTTTCATTTGGTTTTGGTAATCAGGAGTCATTCCAGGTCGTATCTGATAAATTAGGTGAGAGATGAAGCTGCCTAATACCATTTTTATCAAAAAATAATGTAATAATATAAGCTAGGCATGGTGTGGTGCACACCTATAATTTCAGCAACTAGGAGGCAGGAGGATTGCAAGTTCAAGGCCAGCCTTAGCAACTTAATAAGACCCTCTCTCAAAACAAAACAACAACAACAAAAAGAAACACTAAGGATGTAGCTCAGTGGTACAATACCCCTTGGCTTAATGTCCATTACAAAGGATGTGGCTCAAGCAGTAGCGCGCTCGCCTGGCATGCGTGCGGCCCGGGTTCGATCCTCAGCACCACATACAAAGATGTTGTATCCGCCGAAAACTAGAAAATAAATATTAAAAAAAAAAAAAAAAAAAAAAAAAAAAAAAAAAGAAGGGAGGAGGTCTTTGCTCTAAAGTCATGAGGATGACTTTCTTCTATTCAATATGAACCAGCCATTGAAAGAAATTCCTAATCTTTGTGCAATGGCAACACACTGTAAGGACTTTTGGTCATTTGAGCATATTAATTCTGGTTCATTTATTTGTCTTTTGATCTCATTTTTTTTTTTTTCAGAATCCCACCAGCCTTGCCCTGGTAAACTTTATTTTTCTACCTTTTACCTGGTTAGGTGTTTCTTCAAGGTGATCCTCAGTATTCGTGACCTGGACATATTTGTGGGAAGGGCATATGGCCTTCTATAATAGGGGTGTCCTCCAGATGGAGAGATTCCCTGTAGCAAAAGGTGAGGGATCTTCTAGGGGAAATGCAGTGGAAACTGGAAGGTTTTGACATTGACCTTTCCATTTGTGGTTTTCTTCCCAAGAATTTGTTGATTATCTGCTTAGGGTAGTATAGATTTGTCCTTCCTTGTCAATGGAAGAATGAAAAAAGTGATTATTTGTGACTCTTTAATGATCTCCTCTAGTCTTGCTTGGGTAATGTCAGAATCTTTCCCATTTTTATATTAGAAAATAAAACCAAATGAATAATTAATTGTTTGAACAGAAATGATAACACAAGTAGACCACAGCCAGGGTGGCTCTGTGTGAGCGCCCACATGTGAATGGAGAGTGAAAACATTTTGCTTGAGCCAAGATCATTAATTTAAGCCCCCTGTGGGGATGGTCAGACTAAACTCTAGATCCACTGATAGAATTTATAGAATTTATAATATGAAACCAAAGAAAAGCTCTGAAAAACCAACTGTCCTATGAAGTAGTAGTGTCACAGCTAAGTGAAGTTTGATGGTACTTTTAAAATCTTTTGTCTTCTTATTTAAGAATGCATTATAAACTGAGCTTGGTAGCACATTCCTGTAATCCCAGTTGAGACAGGAGGATCAAAAGTTAGAGACCAGCCTTGGCCCCTTAGCAAGACCCTTTTTCAAAAAGTAAAAAGATCTGGGAGAGGGCTGGGATTGTGGCTCAGTGGCAGAGTGCTTGCCTCACATATGTGAAGCACTGGGTTCAACACCACATAAAAATAAATAAATAAATAAAAGTATTGTGCCCATTTACAACTAAAAAAAAAATAAAAAGATCTGGGGAAGCTTCGTCCCCTGTGTCCAATCCCAAGTACCCTCAAAAAAATGCATTGTAAAGAAACATACTTTTTTTTTTTTAAGAACTAAAAGGAACTTATTAGTTTTTAAATACCATCCAGCTCAGTGGTACAGCACTTACCTAGCATGCATAAGGCCCTGGGTTTGATCCTCAGTACAGGAAAAAAAAATTTTATTTATATCATCTAGTTCATCTCCCATGAACTTGTTGCCTCCAAACACAACAAACAGTAGTCCCAGGTGTAAAAGATAGTCTGGTGTCAACTCAGCATTCTCTCTGAATGGTGTTGAGAAAATTCAGTGTGCCTATAGATTTTAGAGGATGCACTTTGCAAACTTCTCCCAATGTGATAAGAGAATAATGGTTTTAGTTATGTTTTGTTATATAATCTTAAAGTGGTGGCAGGTAGGCATTAAGAGACTTGTTTGGCATCTTAAGTAATCTATTAAAACTTTTAATAATGAAATTAATCTTTCCATCTTGGTTATATGTTTCACAGGCTCAGAAAAAATGTTTGAATCAGACCTCCCCCATGTCCACTTCCAAGACTGCAGACGGCCTGAGACAAACACAGATCCCTGGGCTCTTGAGCACAGCACTGCCAGGTCAGGAGCCTTTTTAAGCTCTCTGCAGGCCGTCCCTGTCCTCCCAACTCCAGGGGACACTCTCCCCTGCCTTGTTCTGCATGAAATCTTTGACTGAATCTCACCTCCACTCTGATTATTCCTTTTTTTCTATATCCATTCCACAACGAAATCTGGTATTATTTGGCACATGTGACTTTGTGATTATACTCATGTTGCTTATATACATTTAGAATCCTCCCCCTTCCCAAAAGTAAAAATACTGTGGGTTATATCTGCCATTTTTTCTAAGGCTTTGAACACCTGTAACTACTCAATTAATACTAAAAAAGGAATGAAAGTTTGAACATTCCTAGTCAGTTCCTTCTTTGGAACTCCTCTCCTTAAGTTTTATTTTGGGGTTCTGAAGTACTTAAGGCCTATTTCTCAGATCATAGATAATGTGAAGTTATAGTGTTTATAGCTCCTGTTTATTATCGTTGGTTTAATTAGTTAGATTTATTACTTAAATAGGCTTTACCAACCCTAATCTCTGCCTCTAAATTTTGTGAATAAATATACCACCCTACTCCCTTCATGAATCCACAATAAAGAAATTCCTTTCAGCCAGGTGTGGTGGTGCACACCTATAATCCCAGTGACTCAGGAGGCTGAGGCAAGGGGAGCTCACGTCCAGAGCCAGCCTCAGCAATTTAGCATGACCCTGTGTCAAAATTTGAAAAATAAAAAGGGCTGGGGGTATAGCTCAGTGGTAGAGCACCTCCGAGTTCAATCCCCAGTATAACACACACACACACAAACAGGACTCCCTTTCAGAATGTGTGATCACCTGCATATGCTGGGCTGTAGGACTATACAGAGGACCTGACTTAACATTTCTGTTGAACATTATCTTCTGTATTAATTCCAATAGGACAGGATTCTGGAAACAAAGTTATGTCGGCATCTTTAGGAACTGCACAGCCACAACAGGAAAAAGCAGTTGGATCATCTCCTGGCCAGCCAGCTGTGCAGGTAGAAAACTATTTGCATAGCTCCTTCTTCATAATTTGCATAACTGAACATTAGTGTGGTTGTAACATCTGGTTTGTGGTTACTATCCTGCATTGTGTGCACAGCCAGCCTGCCCCTATATGTCACACAGTGTGGTCACTGAAGACCTTCCTGGTGGGCCATGCTTGGTTACATTTATGTTTCTAACATTAATGTGTCTAGTGTATTTCCGACATGTTCACAATGCTTCATGAATCCATCATTTCCTCATCCATTAATACCAGCGGGGACTTTGGGTGTAGCTCAGGGGTAGAGCACATGCTAAATGTGTGCAAATGTGTGTTAATCCCTAGTAGCACAAAAAGAAAAGAAAACACACATATACCCATCATCAAATCAAAGCAGATCTGTTTTTAGTGTACTGAGAGGGGTTTTTTTGTTTGTTTGGTTGGTTGGTTATTTTTTCTTTTTTGCAGTATTAAGGATGTAAGCTCTTTCTCCATCCCTTTTTATTTTTTATTTTGAGACAGAGTCTCAGTGAGTTACTCTTCCTGGCCTCAAATTTACAATCCTCCTGCCTCAGCCTCCTAAATCACTGGAATTATAGGTATGCACCAATGCACCCTGCTGAGAGATTTTTTTTTTGTAGTAATAAACAGACATGTACGAAGTAGGCAGTCCCTTTAGTCTTTTAAATCTAAAACATTTCAAACCAAAGAAGGAAAAAAAATGTTTTTTGTCTTCAGCTTTACTATGGCCTTCATTCCATCTGCATGAAGTTTACCAATTAATAGTTTGATAAAACTTGCTGCAGTCTAGGTCTGCCCTGGAATACCCAGTAAAGGATCTGTTGATTTCTCAGGTTCTCACATAAGGTGTCTTGTTTCCTTAATGATGTAAGAAATGTCTATTATACCTCAACTTCTTGTAACAGGAGCTTCAAAGTGTTTGCTCCCTCGTTTACCACTGAGAAAATGGATTAAGTAGTATCTACTGAGTTTTCAGGTGTTCATGATATTGGCACCCAAACACATTTCTTCCAAAATATAAAGATGCTTTTTGTAGAAGAAGTTTGAGTGTTTAGGCTTTGAAGTACATACCGAGCCAAGCAGGATGGCAGATGTCTGTAGTCCCAGCTCTACTTGGAAGGCTGAGGTGGAGGATCACTTGAACCCAGAAGTTCAAGGTCTGACTAGGCAACAAAGCAAGACCTCATTTCTTAAAAAAAAAAAAAAAAAAAAAAGTACAAACTGAGTTCTTTCTAAGGAACTGACAGTACAGCTTTCTTTCTATACTCCTAACAGAGTACAGCTTTGCTACATGGAATTTGTGGACTTGTTTATTTTGTATTGTAGCAGGGCACATTCTGGAGCCTTACAATATGCTCTTCTTCTTCTTCTTCTTCTTCTTTTTTTTTTTAATGTTAAATACAATGACAGGATTGTAAGGATGAAAAATTCAGTCAACAACTGCCTTGGGATAAGAAAAGTTCTGCCATGATATTAGCAAAGGTAGAGGGAAATTTACACTAAGATGCACCACTTCCTACAGAACACCTCTTGGCACTTCCTGAATGAGTAGGATTAGCAATCTAAACAAATCATGTTTCCAGAGGCAACAGCAACAGATAAAATTTAAAGGGATCATTAAAATAACATTTATAAGACTCGTAACAATTCTTAAACTCTTATTAAAACCACAAAGAAAAAACAACTCTTTGTTTATGAATTTCATAAAGGACTGAATATGCAACTGACATCTGCTAGTGATGATCTGGTAATCTGGTATGTGCAATTTGTCCAGTTTGTTTTTATTATGTTTTCTAACTGTAAGAGAGCATTAAAGGCAAAGCTGTTTTCTAACTGTAAGAGATCATTAAAGGCAAAGCCTATATGATGTTGTACACAGAAAAAAAATGGTCATCGTGGGCCATACTACTACAACATGCTCTTAATAGGTAATTGAAAAATATTTGAGTGCTCGCTTTGGCAGCATATATAGTAAAATTGGAACGATACAGAGAAGATTAGCATGGCCTCTGTGCAAGGATGACATGCAAATTCTTGAAGTGTTCCATATGAAAAGAAAAGAAAAATATTTGAAACAGTGAACTTTATGTGTATCTGTATTCTGCTTCTTTTTTCTACAAAAGGGAATAATAAGAGGTGTTTTTTATCTCTAGGTGGACAGTCATTCAGGAGGACAAAAAAGGCCTGCTGCAAAACAGCTAACTAAAGGAGCTTTGTGAGTCACTTTTGGAAATGACAAATTAAATTTTAACATTTCTCCAGGTTCCTAACCTTCAATATATATACCACAGAAGTCAGGTTATTATGATTAGTTTCTTAGCCTTTTGAAAAAGTACTTTGAAAATCTTTTTCTGCACTTTGATTTGTAGCTTGAGCGTACTTACTGTTTGCTCTCTGTTCTTAAGGAGAAAAGTACTTTGTCTCTTTAGAGATAGGAAGTCTCTGAGGAGAAGCACAATTTGATAAGTTTCTGCATTTAAAAGCATGAGTTTATTTGGTCAGTAGTCAATGTGGCCAAAATCTCTGTGAGTGCCCACATGCAAATGGATGGTGGAGACACTGCTTCTGAGGTCAGGGTCATAGCAGTGATACACAAAGTATAAAACTGAAGAAAAAACCTGCTGAGCTATGAAAATAGTATTCCTGTATATCTTATTTTCTTTGCATGCAAATAAGCACCATGATTAGATTTGATATTCAGACATGTTTGACATGATATCAACACTGGCATTTCTCTCTTAAAGCATTCTTCAGCAGTTACAGAGGGACCAAGCCCATGCTGTGACACCTGACAAAAGCCAGTTCCGATCACTGAGTGATGCAGTGCAGAGACTGCTCTCCTACCATGTGTGCCAGGGCTCCATGCCCACCGAGGAAGACCTGAGGAAAGGTAAACAGGCTGCAGCCCTTAGAGGGCCACCCTGACACCAGGTGCCCTCCCATGCTACCCACAGAAGAGCAAGAGCTACATCACCCCCAGCTCGTAGACAAGTTGTTATTTTTCATCACAGGCCTACCTGTTCCCTTTGTACTCAATTTATCAGGCCATGTGTAGGGCTGTGACTTATTCTTCCCAATAATCTATGAAGGGGATCCCAAAATACCATGGTATTTTATTGATACACTGGGGAGCAGTGAATTGAAAGCATTGTTTAGGCTGCTGACTGCACATGGGATGGTCTTGGACTAAATCACACTTGAGCTTAGTCCTTGCCCTTAGTTGTGTCACCAGTTCTATTAACTAGATAGCGACTTTAACCCCTACCTGAAGCATTCCCTAAGGTCCCACAGTGACTCTAGAGCATTGGCCAAACTTCAGGAAACTTGACAAAAATGTTAAGGATCAGGGCCCATTCTCCCAACCTAGAACTCAGCCCATTTTGTTGCCTGGCCCTGCTGCCTCTCCCAGTTGTGACTTAGTTCTATCCCTCCTTCCCACCCCCACTGCCAAGCCCTGACTTGTCCTCTACCACTCTAGTTTCTTCTTCAACTGCCACAAGTTTTGCTCTTCCTGGTGGGATCTCTGATAGCAGAGTACAGTGACCTCTGTCAGTCCACTGAGTGCTTCCCTGGGAGATCTAGGGAATAGGATAAAGATCCAGCATTAAACAGAGATGACTCTGAGAAGAAGGGTAAATTAGGAAATGTAAAGCCTTTGGAGACTGAAAGATAAAAGAACAGACCTACAGAGACCATACCTGCAATGTGTCATGGAATAGATTGTATCTTTGTATTAACCTGGTCTGCCCAGCACAGACAGCTGGATTTCATCATTCCTACTGTTTTAGTTTTACCCACTGTTGGAAAGGAGTGCAGGTTTAGGTCATCTAAACCAGCAGATCATTATCTGTTCACTGATATTTGTTCCTGGTCTCTTATGTGGTTTTATTTGTAGGTGATATTTAAAGGTATTTTGTTTTGGTTTCCTAATTAAAGTTGAAATAAGCTATATTAACATGAGTTTCCATGACCACATCAACAGTGAGGGAAAACAGTACAGAAGCATGATGCTTATCAAGGAAAAGTTAATCTAAGGAAAGATTGCCACAGACATGCACTGTTTGAATAATGGAAGAGTAGTGTATTTTGGTCTTAAGAAATAAAAGTCTTAGGGCCTGGGATGTAGTTCAGTGGTAGAGCATTTGCCTAGTATGTGTGAGGCCCTAGGTTCTATCTTCAGCACTGCCCAAAAAATAAGTGAAATAAAGACTGAGTGGTGGCAGGTGCAGTGGTACATGCCTATAATCCCACTTGGGTGGCTGAGGCAGGAGGATCACAAGTTTAAGGCCAGCTGGGGTAACTTGCAAGACCCTGTCTCAAAATTTAAAAATGAAACAAAAAATTAAAAATAAATAAAAAATAAAAAGTTATGGGTGTGCAGCTCAGTGGTAGAGTGCCCCTGAATTCAATCCCCAGTACCATTAAAAAAAAAAAAAAAAAGACCTAGTGGTTGAATTACACCCTCTTACTATTTCCTTTCTCTCTCTCTCTCTCTCATTTCCTCTCTCTCTCTCTCTCTCTCTCTCTTTTTTTCTCTCTTTTTAAAGTGGACAGTGAATTTGAAACAGTTGCCACTCAGCTCCTAAAGAGGACCCAAGCTATGCTTAACAAATACAGATGCCTGCTCCTAGAAGACGCCATGGTAAAAGTTGTGCTACCAAGCACATTTGTTTTTACAGCTCCACAGGTCACAGCTACTAAATCAGAGAGAAAATGTTCAAGGAATTACATTTTCAAAACATAGTTTAAAAAACACAGGTATTTAAGATTGTAGAAAAATTCACATTTACCCATTAATACAAATGACAACATCCAATATTTGCTGAACTATACATGGTGGATCAGTACCATTTTCTTGTTTAACAAATAAGGAGTCATTATGTTAAGTGAAATAAGTCATGCACAGAAAAACAAGTACTGCATGGTCCCACTCATATGTGGAATCTAAGTTGATCTCAGCTAAGTTGAGAGTAGAATGGTAGATACCAGAGGCTAGTGAGAATAGTGGGGAAGAAGACAGGGAAGAGGTTGATAGATGGGTTCTAAGTTGCAATTAAGAGTATGAAATTCTAGTGTGCTGCTGTACAGTAGGGTGACTAAGAGTGATTATATGCTATATATCTCACAAAGCTAAAAGAGCGGTGTGCAGTGGCACACACCTATGATCCAGCTACCTTGAAGACTGAGGCATTTTAGTAAGACCTGTCTCTAAATAATAAATAATTAGGGCTGGTATGTGAAGTTTAGTGCCCCTGGGTTCAGTCTCCAGTGCCACAAAAAGAGGGAAGAAAATCGAGAATAAAGGATTTTTGAGTATTTTCACCATAAAGAAGAGATAAATGTTTAAAGAGATAATATTTAATGTGATCACACAATGTATGTATATATTAAGACATCACATAGATTTCAATTAACATATGATTTTTATTTATGTATCAGTTAAAAATTAATTTGTTTAATTACCAGAAATACAGCTTTGGTAAAGTAACTCCCCCAAGATCACATAGATAGTAAGTTTGCAGAATCATGAGCAAAAGCTGGGCGCAGTGGCATATGCCTGTAATCCCAGCAACTCTGGGGGCTGAGGCAGGAGGATCATGAGTTCAAAGCCAGCCTCAGCAACTTAGCAAGGCCCTAAGCAGCTTAGCAAGACCTTGTCTCAAAATATTTTTTAAAAAGCGGGGCTTGGGGATGTGGCTTAGAGGTTAAGCATCCTGGGTTCAATTCCCAGTACAAAAAAAAAAAAAAAAAAACAGTCATGAGCAGAGCTCAGGCACAGACCAGGACTGTTTCAGAGCAGTTCCTACTCTGCTGCTGTCCACACTCTGCTGCTGTCCACTGCCTTTCACCAATCCAGAGATGTAGGAGGAGGACTAGAGGCACCTGTAGTGACAATTGTTCAGAATAACATTTGGAAAGATTAGCTGATGACAAGATATTAAAATTAGTTTTGTTTTAATTTTTTTTACTACCTTTATTTTGTTTATTTTTATGTGGTGCGGGGATCAAACCCAATGCCTCATGCATGCTAGGCAAGCGCTCTACCACTGAGACACAGCCCCATCCCTGGTTTTGTTTTTAAGAGATCAGTAACATGCCACAAAGTTCATATTTTAATTTAAAGTGTACACTTGATAGATTTCAGTATATTCACAAAGTTGTGCAACCATCACCACTATCTAATTCCAGAATATTTTCATACCCCAAATGGAAACTTTTAAATTTAGTTATGAAGCACCAGTTAATTAGAGAAAGGAATAAGACATTTAGGAGCCCAGGGTCAAATGGGGCAAATGTCTGGCACTTGTAGGCCTTGGTAAGAAATATTGGTGTACGGGCTGGGGATGTGGCTCAAGCAGTAGCGCGCTCGCCTGGCATGCGTGTGGCCCGGGTTCAATCCTCAGCACCACATACAGACAAAGATGTTGTGTCTGCCGATAACTAAAAAATAAATATTAAAAAAAAAAAAGAAAGAAATACTGGTGTACAAGTAAGGGAGGGTTACTGCCATGGTAACCTATAATCCCACTACTGGGGAGGCTGAGGTAGGAGTATCCCAAGTTCAAGGCCAGCCTGGGCAACCTAGCCAGACCTGCCAAAAAACATTGTACTACCAATGTCTGAAATAGTTGTTCTCATTGACAACCATTTCTGAAATAAAAACTCTTTGACACATCAAAAAGAGTAGCTCTAGGGCTGGAGTTGTAGCTCAGTGGTAGAGTGTGAGGTAACATGTGTGAAGCACTGGGTTCGATCTTCAGCGCCGCATATAAATAAATAAAAGTCCATTGACAACTAAAAAAAAAATATGTATATATATATATATATATGCCACCAGCTCTATAATTTGTGAGAAAGGGAATACTTATTTGGTTTAATTATCTTATTTATGCCAAAATATGTTAAGATTTGATTTTGAATATCCAAAGCCTTAATAAAAAGGAAAGCCTTCATAAAAACACAAAGCATAACAATATAAAGTAAAAGGTCATTCTAATGAGATTTCTAAGACACATTATTAAGTTAGAGTAAGAAAAGAAAGGTACAGAACAGCATTGCTATCATTTGGTGCAAAAATAAATATATGCTGTGTGTGCCTGAACTATATCTGGAAGAATATTTTTATTTTTAAATGTGTTCTATGGAATTTGGTTTTTTTTGTTTTTGATTTTTGGCACTGGGGATTGAACTCAGGGGCACTCAACCACTGAGCCACATCCCCAGCCCTGTTTTGTATTTATTTGGAGACAGGGCGTCACTGAGTTGCTTAGCACCTTGCCATTGCTAAGGCTGGCTTTGAACTTGTGATTCTCCTGTCTCAGCCTCCCAAGCTGCTGGGATTACAGGCATGCACCACCATGTCCAGCCTAGAAGAATATTTTAAACTGCTGGGCAGTTGATATTTCCAGGGAGAGGTACTTGGTTGTGGTGGGTATGCAGGGGAAACAAAGAAGGAAGGATTATTTTTTATATGCCCTGTAGCATCTTTTGAATTTTGTACCAGTGTGTCAATTACCTTTCCTTAAAAAAAAAAAAAAAAAAATCAGTTCTAGCTGGGCACAGTGGCACATGCCTGTAATCCCAGTGGCTGAGGCAGGAGGATCGAAAGTTCAAAGCCAGCCTCAGCAACTTAGTGAGGCTCTAAACAATTTAGTGAGGCTCTAAGCAACTTAGTGAGATCCTGACTCAAAATTTAAAAATCAAGAAAAGGGCTGGGGATGTGGCTCAGTGGTTAAGTGCCCCTGGGTTCAATCGCTGGTAACAAAAAAATTCAGTGTTAAAAAAAAATTCATCCTATGTGACCAGGGCATGACCAGAACCTAAACACAAAATTCTCATTTCTGATTGTTTCATTTGTTCCAAAGATGCAGTGAGTTGTTTGCACTTCATAAAAGGCCTCTAAAATGACTGACTTATCTAATTTTCAGCGGATCAATCCCTCTGCTGAAATGGTGATGATTGATAGAATGTTCAACCAGGAGGAAAGAGCTTCCCTATCCCGGGACAAACGTCTGGCACTTGTAGACCCTGGTAAGAAACGTTGGTGTACAAGTAGGGGAGGGTTACTGCCATGCTCCAGGGACCTAAGAGTCTGGGGAATCTGTGTGGATGACCTCTGGGTAAGTCCGGAAGGTATGAATTCTGGGGAGGAAAAAAAAAAAACAGAACTGAGAGACATATGAATCCTCTTTTTTTTTTTAATACCTGTATTTTTTTATTATTTATTTTTGTGTGGTGCTGAGGATTGAACCTAGCGCCTCACACGCGCTAGGCAAGTGCTCTACCACTGAGCCACAACCTCAGCCCCAAATATGAATATTCTTAGAAGTCTCTATTCTACAGAATTCAGATTGGAATTCTACATTTAGTTAAATGAGTCTTTTTTTTTTTTTTTTTTTTGGATACTGGTGATTGAACCCAGGGGTACTTAACCATTGAATTATATCCCCCTTTTTTGTTTTATTTTTGAGACAGAGTCTCCCTAAGGTGCCAAAGCTGGACTGGTACTTGCAATCATCTTGCCTCAGCCTCCTGAGCCACTGGGATTACAGGCTGCATTACTGCACCCTGCTAATTGAATGCATATTAGATTTGTTCCATATTCTGCCTTTTGAAAATGAGTCTGGAGCCAGGCATAGTAGCACGAACCTCTAATCCCAGATATTAGGCAGTTGAGGCAAGAGGATCCCAAGTTCAAGGCCAGCCTCAGCAAGTTAGCCAGACTCTGTCTCAAAATAAATGAAAAACTATCCCAGTGACTCAGGAGGTTGAAACAGGAGGACCACAATTTCAAGGTCAGCCTTAGCCATTTAGTGAGGTCCTAAGCATCTTAGTGAGACCCTCTCTCAAAATATAAAACCAAAAGGATGTAGTTCATCAGCAAAACGCCCCTGGGTTAATCTCCAGTACCAAAAAAAGAAAAAGAAATAAAGAAAAGAAACTAAAAACAAAGATGTTGACGATGTAGCTCAGTGGTAGATTCCTTGTCTAGCATATGCAAGGTCTTGGGTTCAATTCCCAATACCACTAAAAATAATTTTTAAAAGAATAGTAATGAATTCTGGGCTGGGAATGTACCTCTGTGGTAAAACTCAGGCTTGGTATGCAGGAGGCCAGCATCAAAAAAGAAAGAGTTCTCTTTATTTTTTTCTAACTTCTAAAATTTTGTTTGTTTTTGTTTGGTTGGTTTTTTGAGACAGGCTCTCACTATGTTACCTAGGCTAGTCTTGAACTTCTGTGCTGAAGGAATCCTTCCATATCAGCCTCCCAAGTAACTAGGACTACAGGCTAAATATTTTTAAATCAAATAACACTGTGATAATACACAGAATGTAAATTTTACCTTTATAATACCACCTATAAAAGAGATGTTTTAGTTCTTTGCTGTTCTTCCAGTTCTGGTTCCCATTTGCATACTTTATATATAGTTATAACCATTTGTCTTATACTAGATATTATTTTGTATTCTATATTTTTTCATTTAACACATCTGAAGTTTTATCATGTTATCATTTCAAAAATAATTTTTAATACATTTGAAGACATTAGCATAATGCATTTCCCCTGCTGTTAGACTGTTATCTTCCTGTGGCTTTCATTCCACTGATGTCTTTCTGATACTTTCATATTAAGGTTCTGCCTTGGGTTTGATGTGACTCAAGAATATTTTACAAATAGAATATATGATCCTCACACTCATACTAATGGGAAAGTCTGAAAGAAACATTATGAACCTAGCAAGAGCCAAAAAGGAAAAGAATAATATAGTATATATTTCTGTCCCTTTTTCTTAGAACCTGATGTCTCCTATTGCCTTTTGGTGAATTTGGCTTGTTCATAAACCCTCATACTTTGTCATAGGACCCTGTCATGAGCACCACTTGTGCTGGACTGTGTTTCCTTGTCCCCTGTGTGGTGTCTGCACAGCCTGTCTTTGTTGGTAGAATCAACTTTTTAGATTTCAAACTACATTCCCTGGATCTCATATTTTGGGCTTCAGTGAACAATTCATGTTCATCGTATACATACTCTTTGTGGTTTTGTAGATGTCATCAAAGCCCTACTTCACTTTCGTTACTTCCAGAGTTAACACTTTTTGTTTCCTTCCCACCACCAGCTGTACTGTTGACACACCAAGTCCTCATTTGTCTTGCCACCCACTGGCTTCTCCAGCCTTGCACAGTTCCGTGCTCACCCACAGACACAGTTCCTCCCCATCCCACTGTTCTTCTAAGCAGATACCATTTTGGATGTGTGTTGGCTATTCATTTGTGATCTTCAAAGTAATTGGTCCCTCACATGTGATCAGAGGGACTGAAGTCCATCCCCTTCCTCACAAAGCCCCATCAGGAAGAAACCAAGCTGATACCAACAACAAATTTCTGATTTCAGACTGTTTCAAAGCATTCATTAGCAGAAAGCTAATTTAAAACATTAAGAGAGGTGCTGGCTCAGGGGGACAGTGCATACTTAGTGTACAACAGGCTTGGGTCTCCATACCTGAGTATGGTAAAAAGATGATAACAACGGGGCTGGGGAATATAACTCAGTTTAAAGCACTAGCCTGGCATGTGTGAGGCCCTGAGTTCAATCCCCAGCACCACAAAAACAAACAAACAAATCCTATTAAATTATGCGTATATCTTTGAAATAATAATAATAATGCCACCAAGAAATCTGGATCTAATGGAGCTTTCTGTCCATCAGATTTTCCCATTGGTCTCAAGCAGCTGCCTTTTCAAAGAGGCTAGGCTTCTTTCATGGAATCTGTGACTTCAGAGCCTTGTTACCTTTTTAGGATGCCCTGTCAGTACCACATTGTGCTGAAACACTGACTCAGGGTGGGGCGGGGCTGAGGGGTACAGTCGGGGTCGCCCTCAGTACCCGACCACTGGAGTTGGCTACCTAGTCCTTGATCTTCCACTCACTCATTAATGTTCTTTCCATCCCCATTTCCAGAGGGGTTTCAGGCCGATTTCTGTTGTTCCTTCAAACTTGATAAAGCTGCTCATGAGACACAGTTTGGCAGGAATGACCAGCATGGCAGTAAAACAACCAGTTCTCTACATCTGGCAGCCAAGGCCCAAAGCAGAGACCGAGCCAAACCAAGCGTGACCGAACCAACGAATCATGACCAATTTCATCTAGTGCCTAATCACATTGTGGTCTCTGCAGAGGGAAACATTTCTAAAAAAACGGAATGCCTCGGCAGAGCCCTGAAATTTGACAAAGTGGGCTTAGTTCAATACCGGAGCTCATCTGAAGAGAAAGGCAACCGGAGAGACCCCATGAAGACCAGTGAGTGCTCTCCTGGCCCTGAAGGCCACCGCAAAACCTTGTCCAGACCAGATCATGGTACTGAGAACAAACTCTCCGGTATCCTAGTAGACTCCCACTTGGAGATGTCATGTAACGATTCCTTCCAGGACAAAACTCGGAGGAATTCTCCAAAGAATGAAGTTTTACACACAGACATCATGAAAGGGTCAGGTGAACCCCAGCAAGATCTCCAGCTCACCAAGAGTTTAGAAACAACATTTAAGAACATATTGGAACTCAAGAAGGCTGGGCGGCAACCGCAGAGTGACCCCACGGTTAGCGGCTCTGTTGAATTAGATTTCCCCAACTTTTCTCCAATGGCTTCGCAGGAAAACTGCCTAGAAAAGTTTATCCCGGACCATAGTGAAGGCGTTGTAGAAACGGACTCCATTTTAGAAGCAGCTGTAAATAGTATCCTAGAGTGTTAATAGCAGCAGTCCCTCCCCAGCCCCCAGCCCTTGCCCCGGACAAGTTACATTCTCTCCTGGCAAAAGCAAATGGAAACGGTCTCCTGTCTCCAGCCTGCTTGGTCTTTCATCACAGGTTATTCTTTTTAATCTCAGTCCTGTTCTTTGTTTAAGAGCAATACTTGTCGTGGTTATAGGGAGATCCTTTAGTAAAATTCATCCTTGTTAGAGAGCAGTCTGGTAGGCCCTACACATTTCAAGTGTTATGAAAGTGCTTATGGTCATTTTTTGTTTGTTTTGTTTTTTTTTTAACACTGTCTCTCCATGAGCCCACAGTACACTTGACCCTGAGTAAAGTTTTGACAATCATAAGTCATTTGAAAAGAACAGACTTATTAAAGAAAATCAAACAGGACTGATAGAAGCTACTTTTTAAAGAATATCTCACTGCAGCTCCAAATTAGTGTTTTTTCTGTTTTGTTTTGTTTTTTTGCGGGGGTATTGTTCGGGGAAGACCACCTCGTTCCTCCCCGCTCAGCCCTCTCTGAGCAGTAAGTTGCTGACTGCTCTGCCAAGGACTCTACAGCCCTGGTGTCAGAAGTCAGTAGCACATAAGCAGGGCATTTGCAGGGCTTCCCTGTTGATCATTCAAGTGCTTTTCCAATGCTCCTGGAGCAAAACCTCATGCTTTTCAGCATATCCATGTCAAATTTCATCTAGGGAATGCTCTGTTCTTAGTTGTAATAGCATGACTTGAAATAATTTCACCAGGCTGAATAAAGGAAAATGGAAACCAGTTAAGTGGCACAGTGTACAGGGGAGGCCGGGATAGAGCCATGAGGATTATAATATGTATATATGTAAAAGCATATATATGTTAACTATGAAAAAAAAACAAAGAGTTTTGCATTTTATAATTGGGTATAGTCAACATACAATGTATGTTTTGTTTGTTGCTGGGTTTGGTTTTATTTAACCTCTCTGTGTACCCTCTCCCACAACAAATAGCCAAGCATCAAAAGCACTTTCATTTGAAAACTAAGTTGCAATTTTTCAGTTCATACTTTAAGGGGACTTTGGCCTTGTTTCTGCTTCTTGTTGTCTGAGAACAGTAGTCACTCCTGTCAGCAATCATTACCAAAACACAGACAAACCAAAGGTAACCAGCCAGCCCATCACTGAAAGGAAAGAGCTGAGACATAGGATTCCCACTTGAGAGCCAAAGGATATGCCCTGTCATAGTTTGTGTTTGGCCTGTGTTCATATCAGTGAACACGACTTATTGCTTTATTTATTTATATTTCTTTTCAGGGAGCATTCCCCATTTTCCTTTCTTGTATAGCTGTCCCAGATCATCCCATTTCTGTTGTTTCTTTGATTTTCCATGTCATTGTAACCACCAATGGGAAGGCTACACACTGGTAGGTTATATGCATTCTTCTCTCACAGGGCATGCACATGTGTCTGAGCTGTTGGGATCCAAGGTCATTTTGGTTTCAGTGTATGCACACTTGCTTACTTACTCTGCTCATCTCCTTGTCCATAGATATGTACCCATTGGTCTCCACTCTAACATATTCCCAGAGTGGGGATGATCCCCATTGTCATCATGTTGGGCATTTCTTTTCCAGATTGGCCTGCAATGGAAAAGAAGGCTTCTGATCATTCAGTACACAGCAACAGAAGACCTATATCTTCCCTGCCCCTCTGTCCCTCCTTACAAAGAAATCCCATGAGATACCCAGTCTGTATAAGAGCAAAGTACCTTCTCCCTACCCCCAAGCCCTGGCCAATTGAAATAGGAAAATGTGGGCCATCTAGGGTTTCCATTTTTTCCTTATTTGTGCCAATGTCCAAGTTGCGATTTCCCCTTCTTACTGTATTATAACATGTTAGAAAGATAAGTTGGTATTGCCAGTTGGACCTTTCTGTTTGGGCAGCCCTGGGTTAACAGCCCACCCTGAACCCATGATTTCACAGGCTCTTCTTCTGTTAGGGCTCACACTCCCCTAATTCAAGATGGTCCCTCCTGATCAAATTCTTCTCATTGTGGAACTTTATACCTGGAAGCCTTCATGTGGGCTGCTAATGAATTACATTAATTACTGTGAATCAGTGGAATTCTTAAGAGATAAGCTTCATGTACATTCGTCACCTCTCTTTCTGCCCTCTCCTGCCCTCCTATCCCACTTCAAGCTTTTCTATATGCCATCTTCAAGGGTTTTTAAGCCCTAACACTTGTCAGCAAATGGAGAGCCTAATTTACCAAAATGAAACTTGTAAATTTTTGTGTCCTTGTATGTAAGTTTACTTTTTATGGAGGAAAGATTCTAGATAATGACAAATGAAGATTACAAAATGTATTTTACTCCTGTGATTAGGTTACGTGCACATGGGTCATGACTCGCATGTCGAGCCCCTCTGACGAAGGATAAGAGAGCTCAGCCTTGGACGCCAACATTCAGTTGTTCAGGTTCATTAGTCAAAGTTAAGTTTTAGAACTACTTGTACTCAGTAACAAAAATCATTTTCTTTTCTTTTCTTTCTGTTTGTTGTTGTGAAAAAAGTGTGAATTTGTTATTACGCATTTGATTTTCTGTGTCCTTAAGTACTGCCTAAAGATAAAGCAAATTTTAAACTGGCAATTACGAAAAAGAACTATTTTAGCTCTGAAGAATTTAGTAGACTCTGTTAGATTAGGGAGGCCTTACAGACTGACTTGACCTAAAGAGGACGCGTCACTCGCTGTCAGTGTGGTGTGGCTTTATTTGCTTAAATACCTTCATTTGTATAGTATGTCTCACTTGAAATTGCTTTGTATACATTTTGTAAAAATATTTATAAAATGTTTTGTAAAAAAAAAAGTATAACAAATTGCAGTTTATTTTGTTATGTTGGATAAATACTGTTAAAAGAAACCAGTCAGTAACTATATTGTTAATCCATGGTTAGGAAATGTTTAGTTGGAGATTACAAAATGAAACAACCATTGCAATACAGCCAAAGATTTGGGAAAATGTGCAACTGTGATTGTCTTGATTTTGCAAAGAGGAAAGGATGCTTTCCACCCAAAAAAGGGTAAGTATTCAACGGGAGTTCTATTTCAATATTACCATTCCCAAAAAAGTAATCTAACCAGCTGAGGAGACAGGATTTGACTTGATTGGCCTTTCCAAACAGTGACAAATGAAAGAAACAAAGTTGGTCAGTGAGGAATTTTAGTCACAAATGTGTGAGGCCTCCATCCCTAGTCCCGTCACTTGGGTCCTTAGTAAGAAAGGGAAAATGGGGGTCATTTGAAAAGTTACATAAGTGAATCATATTCTGCAGGAAGTTTTCTTCAATCTTTGTTTCTACAAAGATAACAAGAAAGCTAAAGGATAAAGAAAAATATTTTATGTAGACTTATTCCAGAATTAATGTTTCTCTTTGGATTCCCATATTTGACCAAGATGTATGGAGAAATACCTCTGTAACCACATCTGTAAAATCAGCCCCAAGAGATCCATTTGTGACTTCCTACCTTCACAAGTATGACTCAACCCAAAGTGTTTATTGGGGAAACTTCCAGAGGGTAAAATGTGTTTCAGGAAGGAAATTTTTTCTTTGAGATCCAGAATTTATACTTGCACTCCTTTATGGTCTAACTGCTTCCTCTTACCCTAATAGTGGTTGAAAAATCAAGATTCTGTAGTAATTAATGTAAACTAGATGTCATTCTCATAATACTGATAGAAGTTAAAATAATTATATCAGTGGACGAATGGATCCTTTGATGTCATTTGCAGTGTTGCCCTGAGATCACACTTTTCTTCTTGCAAAGGATAAATGTCTGTCCAGCAGAACTTCTTGCCCTGTTCAGGCCGCTTGCAATGGAAATGCCCGAGAAATGGAGTTAGAAGGAAGGACTACCTGGCTGCTGGGTTAGAATCAGGGTCTCTGCATTCCCCACGGGGCATGCACAGAGCAAAGACCAGACATCTTCTCTTAGAACAATGAAAACCCTCAGCCCTGTGTATAGGAGGTCATGTTCCAGGAAAGGGGGCCTAGCTGACACAGAAAAAGCAGTCTGTGGGTTATTGGGGGAAATGTAAGGGAAAAGAAAGAAACCCCCATAGCTGGGGGCACTGAAACAGCATTGCTCAGACTAGCTGTGCTATCTTCAAGAGGCTAGGACCTGGGCTGTATGGTCTGGCTTGACTCAGCCTCAAGTGTCCTCTTCAGCATAGAGAAGACCTCTTGGAATCCAGCATTGACTAGACTACCAAACCGTTCCTGAGGAGTTGACTCTGTGACAAGCACTGTGCTAGACTTTGGGATAGGTGGACAATACAGGAGTGATTTCTTCTCTCAAGGAGCCCACAGTCTTGCCAGGCATGGTGGTACACACCTGTAATCCCAGACAGAGGCCCTGGAAGCAGAGGCAGGACCACAAGCTCAAAGCCAGCCTCAGCAACTTAGTGAGGTCCTAAGCAACTTTGCAAGACCCTGTCTCAAAAAATAAAAAGGGCTGGGGATATGGTTCAGTGGTTAAGAACCCATAGTCTAGGGTCTGGGATTGTGGCTCAGTGGTAGAGTGCTCGCCTAGCACATGCGAGGCCCTGGGTTCGATCCTCAGAACCACATAAAAATAAGTGAAATAAAGATAGTGTGACCAACTACAACTAAAAAAAAATAAATAAACATTAAAAAAAGAAGAAACCCTAGTCTTGATAGGGAAGAACAAATACACAAGTTACTTTTGAGAACTGCCTAGAGTCCAGGAGAGAGGAAAATGGGATGTTGAGACTCCTTCTGAACTGTCACTTGGTAGAGAGCTGCCATCTATTTTCATGCCCTGGCTCTTCAGAGTTATGTCTGAGAAAAAAGTATGATACTTTCTACAGGAATGAAAAGAATGGATTTTTGTTATTATAATGTTAAATAATACAGAGATCTGATTCAGCATACATACAAATAGTAGGAGCACATTCAGATTATGAAGTGGATTCTTACTTGCCTAGCATGCAGGAGGCCCTGGGTTCCATTCCTAGCATGGTGCTCGCCTGCGTGTGCATACTCACACTCACACACACACACACACACTGAATTGTGTAAATATAAATAGCCTGTCCACATTGCTGCAGGTGAAAGACCTTTATGAGAAACCCTGATCTGCATCCCTCTGGAGCATGTGCTGGTGTGGCGTGGCCTTTGAAAACACTTGTGAAGGTTCAAGATCCTTGGGGGGAAAATCACTTCTTTTCAAGGTCAGAGAAAAGCAGTGCAACTAAAGGGACAGGAAGTGCAGCAGGAATGGGTTCCAGTACCTCATCTAACACATAATCAAATACACCTTTCTATAAGTTACTCTTAATCTAAGTTTCTTTGCTCGTAAAGTAAGAAGACTCATCCTGGCCCTCTACTTATGGGTAAGAAATAACGTTCCATTGTCCCTGAAATAATTCAGAAAAGGTTTGGTGTTTTCTGTATGGCTTTTGGTCCTTCCTGATATGCACTATTTCTTAAGCTCATTTTCTTTATCTATCTTCAACCCTCAAAAGACTGCTGCCCTCACCTCTTATCTCCCTTTTCTTTCCACTTAAGCATGTTTTTCATCAGGATCAAAAGCTGTTGTTCACGTTGTCTTCCCCAACTCCAGGTTTATCTGTTCATCTCTCCTTCCTTCTGTCTAATAACCCCTTGCCACTCTCTGCAGATGCCACGAGCTGCTCCCTGAGGCAGGAGGACTGCACTTTGAAGGCTACCCTCAACAACTTGGGGAGGCCCTATTCAACTTAGCAAAAAACCTGTCTCAAAAAATAAAAAGGACTGGGGATGAATCTCAGTGGTTAAGTGCCTCTGAGTTGAATTCCCATATCAAAAACAAAAAAGACTGCAAGGAGAGTTATAATCCAAGAAAGAAAATTGGGGCAGAAAGGAACCTACAGATGGCTCCCCATTTAGGGTATGTCAGGGGTGGCAGTTTTGCCTGTTTGAGAAGGCATTGCTTAACTATCTCAAGTTTAAAAAAAAAAAAAAAAAGATTCCAAATAATCCAGAAATGCAGCAATACTGAAATAATTTACTCAGAGATATTAGGAAACGAATCCCTGGAGTTAAATAACCACAAAATACTGTCCTAAAGAGTAAAAACGCTGGGTGTGGTGGTACATGCCTATAATTCCAGCAACTGGGGAGGCTAAGGCAGAAGGATTGCGAGTTTTGAGGCCAGTCTCAGCAAGTTAATGAGACCCTGTCTCAAAATAAAAATAAAAAAGACTGGGGATGTAGCTCAGTAAAGCACCTCTGGGTTCAATTCCCAGTACAAGGGGGGAAAAAAGTCTAAAAACATCGTCACTGGGTATGGTAGGTGCACCTGTAATCCCAGCTATTCTGGAGGCTAAAGCAGGAGAATCCCAAGTCAAGGTCAGCCTGGGCAATTTAGCGATTTCTCAAAAAAAATTTTTTTTTTTCAAAAAGGGCTGGGAATGGGGGCTGGGGCTATAGCTCAGTGGCAGAGTGCTTGCCTAACGTGTGAGGCACTGGGTTCAATCTTCAGCAGTACCACATTAAAAAATAAATAAAAAGTTTTTCATCCATCTACAACAACAACAACAAATGTTTTTAAAAAGGACTGGGAGTGAGGCTTAGTGGTAGAAGGCTTGTCTAACATACATGAAGCCCTGAGTTCCACCCAAGTACTGCAGAAAATAAACAAAAACATAGCCAAGTGATTTCTAAATCTGAAGAATATAATTACTCAACAAGCTTTATCATTCATATGTGATAAACAAAAAGCATACAACAAAAACATGGCTTCCCCTCCATTCTAGATTCAATTCCCACTTCCCCAAATAACAAATAACTTCTATCGGCACCACTTATCTTGTTCTAAAAGTGTTACATACAAATAAAAACAAAAAAACCTGGAAAGATTCTGTTCTACCCTATTCTGTATCTCAAGTTTTATAACCAATTATCTGGGACTATTATAGTCAGGTTTCTTTGGCTGTAAGCAACAGAAACCAATTTTGGTGACTAGCATAAGGGATTTTATAGGGAGGATAAGGATTGAAAAGAAGATGGAAGAAACACCAAAAGGTCCTGGTAGGTGGAAATCCTTAAAAAGTCTTTCCCAGAACCTCCTACTTTGTTCTATAATCACTTTGCTCAAGATTCAAAATCTGGGGCTGGGATTTGTGGCTCAGTGGTAGAGCACTCGTCTAGCACATGTGAGGCCCTGGGTTTGAATCCTCAGCACCACATAAAAATAAATAAAATAAAGGTATTGTTTCCAACTACTTCCAAAAAATAAAAAATGTTTAAAAAATGATTCAAAATCCCAGAGAAGTCTCATACCCCAGTCCTCTGGGAAAGTGAAAAAGTTTTAAAAATCTTGCACTGACCCTCTAAAACTTAAGTATTGGGAGGACAAACATTTGGATTTGATATCCCCCACCACTGCCAAGATTGTACTCAATAAGAGAGAGAGACCATTTCACAAAAGGAATGGGATACTGTTGGAAATGAGAATGGATGTTGGCAAGCCAAAAGGGTAAAAAACAACTACATCATCTTCCACAATTTATTTAGCCATTCTCTAACAATGAACAACTGAAGTAGCTAGAAGAGAACAAAGCCTATGAGGATACACTAAAAAGAGTTAAGACTTTATTTTTTGTTTTGTGGTGCTGGGGATCTAACTCAGGGCTTTGAACACGTTACAGGAGTGCTGTCCCACGGAGCTACATCCCAGCCCCAAGAGTAAGGTGCTTAAGGCTGTGGGAAGCCATGCTACATTCATTCATTAACTTCTTGAGGGGAAAAACCTTCTATCTCCCCAGTGCTAAGACACACAGTCAATGCTCAATAAACACAAATGCAGTTAGTGAATGACTTTTCCTCTGGGTCAGTCCGGTAAAATGATGGCTTTGCATTTTCTCCTAGCACCATCTACTGGCAGGGGTAAGCTACTTCCTGAATCCTTCCCTTCATATTGTCAGTTATCACAGAATACCATTTATCCATACACAAG